GTGGATCAGCCTGTCGACCACCTCGGCTCGTCCCCCATCCGTCCCACGGTCCCAGATCGTAAGGTCCCAGTGCTTCACCTTGAGCTGCTCTGCTGGCACCAAGTCATCTCTTGGAGATCTCTTGTTTTCCAGCACAGCGGCCAACGCCTGCAGCGCGCTGAGGGGGGCGTGGGCGTGAGGAGGGCACTGTCAAAAACTTGACACCAGGAACCACCGAAGCAAAGAAAAGTCCTTTTTGGATCATCTAAAGACCATTCTCAACATGGTCTTGGACTCCCAGGAAGTACTGCAAAGGACACTCCTTCTTAACAAAATTAAGCACTCCCAGGGTGTATGTATATATATATATTATATTGAACACATGTTAAGCAATGTGAAACATGAATGGTTCACTTGAAGAGATGTTGGACATCCCTTTCACACCCTCTCCCTCACCAACGATCGGTCCCCTTGTCGGGTTCGTCACGGTCGCTTGGTTCCTGAGACCATGTCTCTCCCTTACTGACTGGTGCGACGAGTGGGCAGGGTGGCTGAGGGTGGCTGGCCAATAGTAATTCCCTGGTTGGGGGCGAAACTTCCCTTATTCCCTACTTTCGTCGCACCAGTCAGCTTATATGTCTTGCAGGTAATGGCGACTCCCAGGAAACTGAACCAAACAGAACACATTCCCCAGGAAACGGTGGGAATTCAACCAGTTCGGGAAAACACCAAAATCACCTGATCTGCAGTTCACCAGGTTATGGAGGTATCATTTGTCACTTCGCCAAGCTCAGCTGGACTATGGCATTTGTGCCTGGATCCTACGCAGGCACCTCTCTGGGACTGTCATGTGACTGGTGGTTGATTGACCTCAGAGTCTACATATATACACTCCCTGCAATAATCCATTGGACGAAACCCTGACGGTGTCTTCGAGTCCCTCGCAGGTGGCGTCTGGAAGTCCGGTGTAGTAGGAGGGCCTCCGTCCGGTTCGCACGCCCCCCGTCCGGGGTCCTAACGCTTGTCTGACCACGAGACTACGTCCGGGCCAGGGTCGCTCGTTCCGCTTGGTATTCAGCTGTCGCCCTGTGGTCCATAGAGTTGCCGTCATCCATCACAGATCTGGATTCTTAAAGGGATGCTTTCTAGGATGCTACTAGGGGCTCCTGGCATCGCTACTAGGAGCAAGGACGCTACTAGGGGCTCCTGGCCATACTACTAGGAGCAAGAAGCTACTAGGGGCAGGCATGACCTGGTCAAACCGTCGTAAGGTTCGGTCCCCGGAACGCGGTCAAGCGGTTCTGCGTCGTTGCCGTTTGATCCAAACAGTGTTTCCATGGAAAGATGTGCCTGTTTTTTTCTGGCACACACACAGAAAACAACCCAAAAGGACACCTGCAAACCGTCAACATGAAACGGGATGCGCATGATTACAATGGATGCACATAAACTTGCTGCGGATGAATCTCCACTGGACACCCCGTACGCATAATCCCTGATGTTTAACTCATAAATAGTTGTGAGTCCCTCAGGCTAGTTTGTTATGATTGTTTAGGAATCAAAAACTGACGGGACTGATCAAATCTTTCCAGTACCCCATTAGCTTGCAGGCCATCGCCAGGTTGGGTTACCATCGCTATTAGGTTCCATCGCTGTTGTTCTTCCCTCTCTTTCAGTCTTCGTCAGCTTCCCCCCCACAGTCGCTGACCCCATCCGCTCGCTCAACACGCTCAACCCCCAAGCGTCCGGGCGGTCTGCAGCGCCTTCTTTTCGGGGCCCGCCATGGCAAGTGGAGGGGATTGAATATAGTAGAGATCAGTAGATGACATCTCTTGACTCCGTAAGAATCTTAAGATGTGGCTTTCCTGATATTTAGATGTTGAATGACTTCATGTAATGAAAAGAGCTTTGTTTCGGAAGCAGGCAAGCTAGCTTTGCCTCCTGGTCAAATTCTAGTCATGGCATTTGCTGCATCGTTCACTTTGATCTAGTCAATTGGAAGTGGGTTTGAACACATCATCACATGTCATGCCTTCTCCCATGCAGACTGTTGAACAGTTCTCTTTCTAGTCGTCTTCAGGGAGCTCAGAAAGCTGTCTCACTTTGAATCTGCGAAAAAGACACTGCTTCCGGCTGCTTCCTCGCGGACGGACGTCGAAAACCTGACGAGCCAAGCTCGGTTGATGCAGATGAGTAGAAGGATGGGCGCCCTTGGTTTTTAAATAATATATATAAATATAAATATATATATATATATATTTTGATAAATAATATATACAATATATTATATATATGTATAATATATACAATATATTGTATATATGTATAATATATATATATATATAGTATATGTTGTAATACACATATATTCTATACATATATATATATAGACACAGAAATCCACAGACCATCCATGGGACTGGACTAGGAAAAGACACACATCGACCAACCATCATGGACCCAGTCGTTGAAGTCGTCGAGTCGTCGGACCCGATGTCCGGCCCGGCGAACGAGACGACCTGCCCTCCCAGGTCCGTCCTGCCGAACGAGCGATGACTCCCGGGTCGCCATGGGTCATCCATCTTCGTGACCCGACCAATCGGGATCCTTCATGCAACTCTTCCAGTCCCCGACCTCTGCCCGACCGGTCCCGTCCGATTTGATGCGAGACGAGACGACGAGACGACCAAGCATTTGGCCACGCACACGCAAAAAAGATGTCGTGAGTAGAACATAATAGTATAGAACAATGCATTGAATATCGTGCTTTCTATAAACAGACCCTCCTGTCACTGAGCCCACAATCGAACGTCTCCACTTCATCACATGGCCGAGGTCTGCCAGGTCTGCTAGGTGGCCGAGGTCGCCGGTGTTAATCCTTCGAAGGAGATCGACAAGAGCTCATCATCGTTGCACCAAAAGTCTAAACCTTGGATTGGCTCTTAAGGAACCTGCAAAAATAAACATGTTCCCCAGAAGATTGAACCATATAGGGAAAATAAAAACTCACCTTCAGCAAAACCTGGAAGCTTCGCAACCCTCTGGGAAGAACCGCTCCGACCTCCTTGACCTGCAAAGAGCTTCCCTGACCACCATGCGAAGTAAACGAAAGGCTTTGAAGGCTGCTGGGCCACTCCACCGTCGCCAAGCTTTGGCTGAACCGAGAGCTGAGTGAAAGCCTCTGAAGACTACTGGGCCAAGTGACTCCCTCAAGGGTCTGGTTCAAACCATCGGCGAATGAAAGGCACCGGAGGCTACTGGGCCAAGTCACTCCCTGCAGGCTTTGGTTGAAATCATTGCCAAAAGAAATGCTCTGGAGGCTAATAGGCCAAGTCACTCCATGCAATCTCTGGTTGAATGTGTGACCATACGAAAGACTCTGAAGGCTGCTGGGCCAAATCACTTCTTCCATTTGCTTGTGGGGCTCCAAGCTACCCCCAGCTCCCGCGTGGATCGGCGCATTCCGTTGGATCGGCGCCACCCACGACCAATCCAAGCGATCTTCGCCGTCGTCCAACCCATGGTCGACGTGGTCCAAATCAAAAAATGGTTGGGTAAATCGCCCAAATCCAAGAAATGCGCTGACTCTCTGGGACGTTGGCCGTTGTCAAACGAAAGGCTTTACAGGTTGCAGGGCCAATTCACTCCTGCCAGAGATTGGTTGAAATAATAGCCAAACGAAAGGCTCTGGAGGCTGCTGGGCCAAGATACTCCTTGTAGGCTACGGTTGAAATCTCTGTCAAACGAAAGGCTCCGGAGGCTACTAGGCCATGACTCCCTGCAAGCTCTTGATGAAATTTCTGCCGAACGATAGACTCTCGAGGCAACTGGGCCAAGTGACTCCTTCCAGGCTCTGGTTGAAGTCTCTACCAAACGTAAGACTCTGGAGATACCTGGCCAAGCCACTCCCTGCAGGCTTTGGTCGAACATGTTGCCAAACGAAATACTCCGGAGGCTGTCCGGCCAATCCATTGCCGTCAGACTGAAGTTGAAAAAGCAGCCGAATGCAAAGCTTTGGAGGCTTCTGGGCCAAGCTGCTCCCGTCAGAGTTCCAATGAACGGAAGACAAACCTAGGTTTGGCAGCGCTGTCCGCCTACTGACAAGGTATGACGGATGAGATGGGAGCTTGAGGTGCCCCCCCTGATTTACAGGTGGAGGTCACTTACAATGCCTAAGGGACATCGTTATGGGGCGGCCAGCTGGTTCACTGGACTTGACTAGACTGAATGTCGGAATCATTGGGAACGCTGGCCAAAGCCAAGCTCTTCGAGTTTGATACTGTTGTGGAAGATTCCTCGCATGTTGAACCGGAACAGCTTCCAGATCGGGACTCAGAATGAGGCTGAGAACCTGTGAAAATGATGTATTCAGATCAAAAACCTCTGGAGCAGACATGGTGTGGCGCTTTAGGGAAGCACAACAAAAGCAACGCACCAAAAGAACCGCCCAAATTACAGGAGGCCCGTCAAACCTGTACATGTGCGTTCTTTGGGTAAATCCATTTAAAGCCTTTTACCAGTAACAGTGGATGATAATTGATAATGGTTCGTAAAGTTTAAATAGTTGCAATAGTTTTCCGACTGTTACAGGTCATGGGATAGACTCTCAGATAGACGCTGTGTAACTTGGTCAATGTTTTTTGGTCCATCCGGTAAACAAGGAGGCACATCAGTAACAATCATTTTCCAAACACTGTGTTTTCAACAATAAATTCAACTATTTTTTAAAGCAAGACCATTCTGCGTACGTATTCTGGATCGTTTGACTCGTTTGACTGTCTTATGGACTACGGGACCCCACCAGCAATCCTTTGACCTTGCCTAAAGTCTCAATTGAATATGACTGGGGGCGTGGGGACTACCACCAACCAAACAAGGACCTGTTTAAACTAAAAGGCAATGGGAGAACCGAAAGCAGCATTGAAGCAAACGAACGGCGCGCTGACGTTGTCAACATGGCCAAGCCACATCGCTCTCAATGTCCTCAATGCTCCAGTTCTGGGCGCCGCCAAACGAAAGGTTTAGAAGGTTGCTAGGCCAATTGACATCATTCGGATTCTGGTCAAAATGAAAGCCGAACGAGAGGCTCTGAAGGCTGCTGGGCCAAGTGACTCCTGCCAGTGGTCGGTTAAACCTGTCGCCGAATGAAAGGCACAGGAGGCTGCTGGGCCAAGTGACTCCGTCAAGGGTCTGGTTGAAATCACAGCCAAAAGAAAGGCTTTGGAGGCTACTGGGCCGGTCAAACGCCTAGAACTTTTGTGGGTTTCAAAGTCAGGACGCTGGCCCCCCCCAGACCCCGAATCCGCCGGAAACCAAGGCACCGTTGAAGGCCAAGTGCGCAGGGTGCCTCAGAGTCGAATGGCGGCAGAAGGCCACTCTTGGCGCGCAAGATCCACATACAAATAAGGATGAAGAAAAGAGGATACAACTTCGTGTCAGGATGAGGGAGAACCATCTTCCCAACCCCGAAGATCTACATCCAAATCTTCGCCACCCGAGACATCCTTGACCGCTTAGCGGACACAAATTTGTGACTTGGATCCATGTTGTCTTACTGTGGGGAATCAGCATTAGCCATCGGTCACCCAAAACAATGCAAAAGCAAAGGGCCTTCACCAGGAGTCACAAAGGGGTGGCTTCTGGTCGTCAAGTGAGTGGACCATAGGCACCTCTATCCTCCAAATAGGCGTCCCTTTCGAACTGCCGGCACATGACTTTTTCACCTGTGTCCTGCGATCGCAAATCAACATCAAATCACATGAGCCCGCAAATAGACATTCGAGCCCCGAGGCCCTCGACATGAGAGTCGCTTGGCGATCGTTAAGTACAATCGGACCACACACAGTAGATTCGAACGATGCGCCTATTCAACCACTGCATCTGCTCTGCAGGCGCCTCGCTGGCGCTCTCCCCATTTGAATTCTCCCACCTTGTGGATCCCTGGGCTTCCCGGACGCAATTTCGCGGTAGGCGCTGCTACCTCGTCTATGAGTTCATCAATACAAAAGCCAAGCTGTTCGTTGCCCCAGGACTTGCTGCATGGAAACCGACGATCCATTTGGACCAACCGAAGGACCCAGCCTGCATGGCAAACTTCGTCCACCAACTGGTCCAGCTGCTCCCGGCGGCAGGTACTACGACACCTTGCAAGGGAAAGCTTGGATTACAGCAACCGGAAAGAAGATTCCCGAGGAAAGGGATTTACCCAATAGGGGAAACAAAACCTAAAAGAGTTTCCCATCCCAACCAGCACTTCTCCAGAGTGCAACCAACACTTGAAATGCTGACCCTTCTGAGACCATCCCACCAACCTATGTACAGTAATCTATGTTTGATGACTTTCACCCGTATTCCAGACCCATGTCATCTGCTGACAGTATAGCTTAAGATCTGGTTACATGACAGCGAACACGCCCACAAACTCGGGAGAGCGCCTGGAAGGGGAGTCGGACTTTAAACAGCCGCCCGTCTGGCTCCTTGCGGCAACATTCAGTGCTCCCAGGCTGAGGTTAGATGTCATAGGATGAACAGGGAAAAACTGCACCCTATCAGCGCTCCATGGCGCCGCCCTCAGGGATGTGGCGATCGATTTAAGGGAGATGTGCAAACGTACTACACCAGCAACAACGACCATGGCCTGGAAAAACATATATATTTATCTGGTGTGGAATTAATGACCCATGGCAAGCTCGAATAGCATGGTCCAATCCAATCTTTGCCTACATCTGTGGCGTCTTTGGTGGGCTCTATTCCAGCGGGGTCTTCGGCGATGGACAACTCAACCTTTCACGCAAGTCCACATTGCCCAAACTGCAATGCAGCGAAAAGCAACACAGAATCGAATGAAATGGTGCGGCAAGACCCCTCCTCGGAGCCCTGAATTGAAGGTGCCTGATCTTGTTCACCAACTGATGCCCCAGCCCCAGGTGATTGGCTATCTTCGGCCGATAAAACTACAAACTGGGTGAAATAAAAGAAGAAAGGTGACAAGCTCCCAGCGTTTCTTGTGGCAAACTCCGTTGAACACCGATTGCACAGCGACTGCTGCCTCCCGCACAGAAATAGAGTCTATCCAAAGCTGCACCAGGAAGGGCTCAAGTGGCTAGTGTTTTCCAATACTTGCTGTCCAGTACCATTCCAACAAACACGGAAGTGGACAATGACCCCCCATATGGAAGACCACCATCTTCCATGATTCTTGGGAGGGTAAGCGGAGCGTAAACGAGCTAATTGTCTACACAAATGGGCCCAAGTAACTCTGAAGGACTTCTGTTGGGGGCCCACAACAGGTTGACCTGGGGAACTTGAAAGGACCTTTTGCTCAAGCTTTCAAGAGATGGATGAGTTCAACTAACAAAAATAGTTTTGAAGTTTGCTCTCCGAAATCCTTGCCCAGCTGAGGCACGAGTCGTTTGTGCTTGGCTAGAAGATTGGCTGGTTAGTGTAGTTACTCGCGAAGATGACATGCTGTGTCTCATGACCCGCTGTGTGTAACTGGACTTAGTTGAGGCTGTTTGTCAGTCATACTTACAAGTCCCATATTTTTTGGCGAGTCGGCCGTGCAAATGTAAGCGTAAGACCCGGCTCTCCCAGGTACCACATGGCGCGGTGGGTTGATTCCCATAAACGAACTGGGTATTATTTGACGGATCGTGATGTAGCAGTATTCCGGGAACATTGTGGCGTTTTTCTTGATTTCATGTTTAAACAGAGCTTGGTTAGTTAAAAGAACTCTGCAAGGGGTAAATAAGTTTCCAACAAGCATGCCACTTAGGATGGTTGCATGAGGGCCTACTGTCAACATGCTGGCCTAGCCCAATTCCTCCCGAAACCATAATCATGGTTTTCCAAGCCTTTGCGCTTGGAAATGAGCACCAGCACTTGGGCTCCTCAGCAGCACACATGTTTTCTGGCGAACCACCGGGAATGGTCCGCTTTCCTTGGATTCAATCGACAAGTGCCCCAAGATCAGTGGCCAGATGAGCATGGTCCATACTATCTCGCGTCCCAAGTTCTCCCAATGGGATTCAAAAAAAGCGTAAGTTTGGCACAACATGTACACAGGGCTATGGTAAGAAGGGCAAGCGAGAGTCAAGGGAATGTATTGCAGTCAGAAAAGAGATCAGAAAAGATCGAGCGTTCACAGACTTGCATCGCGTCTACCTGGACAATTTCGACCTGCTGGAGAGAATGGACAGCCGAACTCATCGCCATCCCAGTTCTAGCTCTAACAACAGAAGCTTCACCCCCAGGGCGCCGCACATTCAGGGTCCCGTCTCCATCTGATCTCAACCAAACCTGCCGGAAGTAGTAGTAGCAGTAGCAGTAGCAAATTATAGTAATAAACATAGTAGTCGTAGCAGCAGCAGCTCTCGGAGTAGGAGTATATAGGAGTAGGGGTAGGAGTGAAGTAGGAGTACGAGGGGAGTAGGAGGAGTAGTAGTAGTAGTCGTAGTAGTAGCAGTAGTAGTAGTAGCAAGTAGTAGTAGTAGCAGCAGTAGCAGTAGTAGTAGTAGTAGCTCTTCAACAGGTCGAGAAGACCATTCAACAAAAGGTGTCTGACCCAACTGTGCCATTCGAGGGGGTTTCTGAGCTTGAGAAAACGGCATTGGATCATTGCACCAGCATGCTTGATTGCCTGGAAACCATTGCTTCCATCTCACCTAGTGACCTAGTGGACCTGTCTTCTCCGTTGAGGAAGAACAAGCTTTGAGATTGGCTGCAAGCCTTGAGAATGCTGAAACAACATCTCATGTGCATGTAGAAGAGACGCAGCTCGACACTGCGCGCCTCGATGTACTGGTGGAAGACCCGACCGTCTTCGCTCGGGTCCTCAGGGGTCACATGCAGATCAGATCTACCTGTTGCAACGCTTCTGGAATCCGCTCTGCCATGAAATCAAAAAGGTGAAATCACATCGTAAACTCGATGATGCTGTCGACACGGATGATCTATATACCATGTGGGGTAATGAATTAGCCGACAAAGTTGCCAAACAGATCAATCAATTTGATTTGCCTATCTTTCAAGAAGCAGCAGATTCGACCTTTTCCGCAGATAGCGAAGCTATGGGGTTCCTACTTCAAATAACAATGAGTTACCCGTGCGCGCTTTCGAGACAGGTTGCTGGTGCTGGGCGCCGGTGCTGGTGCTGGTGCTGTGAGCTGGCTGTGCACGTGGTGGAGACAGATTGCTGGTGCCGGCTGGTGCTGGGTGCCGGGTGCCGGCGCTGGTGCTGGTGCTGTGAGCTAACTGCGCACGCGGTGGAGCTGGTGCTGGGCGCCGGGCGCCGGTGCTGGCGCTGGTGCTGTGAGCTGGCTGTGCACGTGGTGGAGACAGGTTGCTGGTGCTGGTGCTGGGTGCAGTGAAGGGCGCCGGTGCTGGTGCTGGCGCTGTGAGCTGCATGGTGGAGACAGGTTGCTGGTGCTGGTGCCGGGTGCCGCCGCTGGTGCTGGTGCTCTGGCCATGCGCGTGGTGGAGACAGGTTGCTGGTGCTGGTGCCGGGTGCCGGTGCTGGTGCTGGGCGCTGGGTGCCGGTGCTGGTGCTGGCGCTGTGAGCTGGCTGCGCAGGTGGTGGTGACAGGTTGCTGGTGCTGGGTATACCGGTGCTGGGTGCTGGTGGTGGGCGGCGTGAGCTGGTGTGCCGGCGCTCGGTGCTGGCGCGCGCTTCTGACAGTGAAGTGATAACAACCGCCGCTTCTGACTGTGAAGGGTAACAAACCGCCCCTTGCAGCAGTGAAGGGCGACCAAGCGCCGCTTCTGACAATGAAGCGCCAGCAGTCATGGGCCGCGTGAACTTATGCGCGCAACATCATACGGTGTTGTCGCTTGAGCGTTCTTTGTCTATTTACACTCTTCAGGTTCTGTTTTGGCCGACAGCTGTGTCAAGGGCTGTACTGTTTGCGCGCATACTTATGTATGTATAATGTTCTATGCGCAACGTCAGGCTCTCAACCGACGATTGTTTCAGCATGCTGCGCACGCAATAGTCGTGCTGGATACTGCTTGGCCTTGGGCGAGTGAAGCCTACGGGCTTTTCCGTTTGTGCGCATACTTTTGCGCGCATAAACTTATATGCCCGAGATCATACGGCCTTATCGGTCTGCAGATCGTTGCTTCAAGCACGTTACAATAGTGGCGCTGGATACTGCTTGGCCTTGGGCCAATGACACTTACGGGCTTTGCTGTTTGCGTGCATACTTTTGCGCGCGTAAACTTATACGCGCAAGCTCATACGTTGTTATTTCCCAAATAGGGATAGCTATGGGGTTATTGTTGCAAATAAAATGAGCTGGCTGCGCGCGCTTTCGAAAGGGTGTCGGCGCTGGTGCTGGTGTTGTGGTCCTGGGCGCTCGTGCTGTGAGCTGGCTGAGCGCGCGTTTAAGACGGGCGGCGGCGCTGGTCAGGTGCTGGCGCCGCTGCCAGTGTTGTCAGCTGACAAAGCGCACCGGTGCTGGTGTCAGCTGATTGTGCGCGCTGTGGAGGTGCCGTAAGCTGGCTGTGCAGGCTGCGTGCATTCTTGTTCCAGCCAGTCGCATGTCAACAGGTCGTGGGATTCTGCCTAGCTATCTGGGTCTATGCTGGTGTAATTTCATACCAACCAACAAATGGAGGCTTTGCTTACAATTTACCATTAACTTGCTGAATTCCATTCCAGTTTAAAAATTGAAAAAGAGAAAGATGCGGCAGCAACACATCAATACAACACGCTAGATGCATATGCCAATTACCAGTCAGTGTTGAGTCAATGGAATGTCGGACCTCATTTTTGGACATTGGAAGCAGATCTGTCAGAGATAATAGCATAGGGTTGCCCAGTAGGTGCACATGTGGCACATAAAGTGTGGCAAATGTTCCGAACATTTCGGTGGCGCCCGTCTGATTCCCCCAACACCCCGGGTGAGTTCGGTATCACCTGGTATGAATTGTCCTGTATTGTGCTATCTATTCGGGGTCATGCCTTCCCATCTGGAACATAAATTGCCCAAACCATATGCATGTGGTTCCACCGAAGCCAAGATTCAACCAGACACTAAATTACCCCAGCATAGACCCCAGATAGCAAAAGCATGCAAAAGATTTTTCTGGGCTGCACCCTGCATTGGCAGCAGCAGAGCCATCGACGCATCCTCAATGGGGCGGCCTTTGAGGCACATCCAAGCTTCCTGCAGGTCGACTGCCTCATAAGTGTAGGACAAAGAGAGTGATTGCCCTGGTGCAAGACCTTGTTCGGTCAGAGTCTTCCTCAGTGACAGCTTCTCAGTTCCTCTCAGCACTGAGACTCTTGCTCCATCTTTGCATGGAAGTCGGTCCCGAATCATCTTTCGAAGCTCAGAGCCTGTGAGCACTTGCAAGTTGAATCCGTCTCCATGCAGCCCCAGAACCTTGGATTTGCCATGATTTGCCGAAGAAACGCGTGTCTACACTAAACCTTTCAGAAGCTGCCAGAAGGTTTCTTTACAGATTCCCTCCATGGAAAACTCACCTCACAGAAGCAGGTTGCCTGAACCTGGAGCTCTTCCTTCGATGCAGATGCTTCGCTCGGGTAGCCGGCTGACATGGCGCAGCTAATGAGGCACTACCTCTTGAGAAGGGCTGCAGTAGGTATAGGTCCTTTTTGGGGGGGGACAGTTCAAAACAGTTTGCGCTTTCTGGCAACTTGGCACATCAAAAGTGGATGCAGAAAGCTGCAAAAAGTACTTTCCTGGCTCCCACGATCTGTGGGATGTCAGATATGAGGTGCGGCTGGCACCTGAAGGATTGATCCAAACGCAGGATGAAAGCGTTTACATCTTTTACATCTCCGTGAAGTAAGGATGTGGTCTGCAAAGTCCTGTCTGTGACAATCACTTTTAAAGCTCCAAGGTTGGATGCAGAAACCCTGCACACGCACTGCCACTCTGACCTTTTCACCGCGCGGTGGCCAGCCGCTCCAACAGCCAAGGTGTTTCGCCTTGCTACACAACTGCGCCGCCCGCGCCCCCCTGCAGAGCTGTACTCCACGGTACGAGTGGATCAGAGTGGATCGGCCCTGGTTGCAGACGTCGGATTACTGAAGACTATGCGGCATCCTCCCTCCACAATACAGCTACAGCTAGACCCCCAAATTGATGGAAAAGTAGATCCCACTGCCCGCTCAAAGTGTGTTGGAAACCGTGCCTTCTATCTATTTAGGGACCACAAAAGGGCCAGAAACAAAGCTCAAGAGCTACCAGCAACATCTCCCAGAGGCAGAGAATGAGTCAAAGATTCATCGGAACCATGTTTTCCGGAAGACCATGCCGGCCTTCCGGAAAAACGAGTGTCAAAACGGGTATGCACGGTATGCGTGTTGCACTTATACTTGGGAGTCACATATGATTTTTCATTCATGGTTTCATGTGGAACCACTGTCTCGACCCCTCACACCGACCTGTGTTGCAGGTCGAAATACCATGCCAATGCTGTTCCAAGTTCAGAAACTTCTTTAGGTTGGTCTTTAGGTTGGTCTTTAGTATAGTGTCTCTTCTTTAGGTTGGTCTTTAGGTTTTTCTTCTGGTCACTTCTTTAGGTTGGTCTCAAGACAGCTCTTTTGCTGGGAAAACCAGACCAGCCAAAAGGGTCCCTGACGTCGATCAAGAGATTGGTCAACCAGCCAATCAGCCAGAGCCAGCAAGACCAGGTAGTATGCAGAACCAGGTAGATCGTTTGAATCAATTGGACATCTCAAAGTGCTATGGAACGGAGAAAGACTTAGAAAAACGTCACTCCGTTGGAAACAAATCATATATAGATGTCGGGGATGACGATAAATGTAGTTCGAACTCATCATCAGTTCACCAAAAGAACTTCAAGCTATACTATATATAGTTGTATGTGAGCTAATGTGAACTATACATGTGATCTCATTTGTTGATCGAAACAACTTGATCTGATGAGATCTGGTGCATGTTTACTTGTTCTGGCCCCCCCTCGAGGTTTACTTGCTCGTTGCACTCCGGATGGATCCATA